GTATAGTTACATGTTTTAACCTCATATTTGTTTATAACTATCTTATACCTGTCAGGAAAGAGTCTATTAGTGTGCCAAATTAGAAAGGTCACACATTAAATTTAAAAGTTCGGTTAGAGTCGTTAAACGTAATCGACGAATTAACTCTATAATAATTGGGACTTTGGGACAGGGAATTATTTAAGCCTCTGTGTGACGGGAAATAACTCAGCTACAGGTGGCGCTTTACTCTATATCCATAAAATAAGGCAGGAGACGCTCAACGTCGCCATTAGAATCAACTTTTCGGTGGAAGCGAAGGTTACACTGTCAAAGCAATCCACGGAACATAGGAGGTGTGGGCAATCCTATAGTTCGTATAGTAAAACGGCTCCTTTTAAAAGGCTCAGCTTCTGGTTTGGGGAATACAAATGATAGGATATAAATTGTCAGGTTGCTGAACCTAACTATATCGATATTTATTGTATATTTGATGAACATCAAGTATTCATTTTTTTCGTGGCTGAGGTTGAGGGATCACACCAATAGTTATAGATAGCCCACGTTTTCTTTATAGATGTCGCTGCTATTTAACGCTCGATATAAATATGAGTACGTTTTTACTTACTATAATTATTTTCTCTGTTGATTCATTGTTCAGCCATATTAGTCAGTGGATCATGATATTATGTCCACTATAAATGGAGGGTAGAACCATATTAGAAAAGTTTATATGTATAAAAATGATAACCTGTAGCCACGAAGTGAAGGCAACGTTCCTCAAGAAGATATAGATGTCTTATTAGGGGTCATTGGGAAGCCCGCTCGGAATCTACGGTTACATATGCTATTCTTTCACGTGTCAACACTATCCTCTCAACTCTTTAAACATCTAATATTCAATAAGTTCAAAACATAAACGACTTTTTTTGTATTCTATAGGATGGAGCCATTTAAACGCGACTAACTATAAGTACGTGATGTGACATTACTTTTTCGCGCAAGTTGCATAAAAGCAGTGTGTGATATATCCTATTGACCATAATTAACATGTTTTAGATGTATGTAGGGTGTAAATTGTATGACAACTTGTACAAAGTCGAAGGAAGTGGTGTTTTCAACTGAAATATATTATCATGATTCATTTATAGTGTGGTGGAAATTTGAACAAAAGGTGAATAGTCCGTCCGTCAAATAATGCAGGAGAATTATTGCAACTAAAGGGCGCTTCATGTCCAGACAACTAAGAAACCACAGCACAGCTTATTAAATATAAAGAAGAGCAGCGTCCACTCTTGCTTATCTGTAAGGTTTGTCAGCCGCTTCAATGTAACATTTTATGAGCCAGCAACTGTTTGTATTTTCTAAACTTCTCGCCTAAAGTAAGTAACTTTAACCAGCGCAGGTCCTTTAGAGCTGACTGCCATAAATATCTGACATTCGTAGACGCTGTCTTTATTTGATCGTGGTCATACATGCGCTTTGAGAACCTTACTCTTGACTTTAAAAAATACCTCATCCTAAATTGTAAAACCATCATTTCACAATAATACGCTGAGAATTGCATTGAACAAAAGTGCACCGATTTTCAAATGCATTCTTGAAATGTCCCGCATGTGCATGAACAGAGGCAGCATCAGGTAACAACTGTCCCACAAATATGTGTGTGTGTGTGTGTTTTAGGGCAGGCGTTATAGAATGGAATATACAGTAACCTGGATATGGCCGTCATGAGCATATTTTATGATTCTGGAAGAAGGGCTGTGTGTTTCCCTCAAATACTGCGTCATAAGAATGTCATAGGAAAATATAAAGGTATACCGGCGAAAAAACACATAAACGTATATAACTATTAAAATTAATAATAAATAATAACCGAGGGTGTGAATCTCGATATTGCGCTGTAGTATAGCCCATATCCGGAATAAAACGGATATATTCTTTATTACTAAAAAAAAACATATATAACAAAGTTTGTGTCGTAAAAAATCGTCTGCTACATGAAAACTTTAGAACTGTTTAATGACACCTACGGTCTTGTACACGTGTCTTTCATCCGGTAACCCAGGTTATTAACTGTATTAAACATAGTATATATAGTATAAACGGAATGTGTACCGTGGGTTTCGACGATGGGCCTACTGGTATACTCTACTATCATTGCAATTATTTAAAGATTAATCTATCAATTTGCCAGTATTATTTTCTATACAAACATAGGTAATTGGAAAACCACGCGTGGTGAATAGATATGGTGCTTCTCGTGATTTTCCATTACTATGCAGGACGTTGTTTATTAAGGCCTACTACGAAATATTCACTATATGTAGGGACGAATATATACTTCAAATATAAGTCCAGTTACATTTTAAGTCACATCTTCCGGTAGATCTGATATAATTGTTAAAACTTATTAGATATATCTAAAAAGGTCAGATAAAAAAAAGAATAAAATAGGTGTTTTAGGTAGTTTTCAATTTTTAAATTTGACTATATTCATTAAAATAAGTTCATAAACATGTCATATTGTAGTGACACTTGCATGTTTTAAAGATCATTAAATGCGTTTATAGATATATCCGTGCGTTTATTCGTGCAAGTTTTAAGAAACAATAAAGTGCGCAGGACTTAATTTACAATGGTATACCTTTAATTCAGTTATTCATTATGATTTGGGGAATAATGTATACTTCAAGACAAAAAAGGGCATTTCAGTTATATGTCCGTTTATCTGTTATAATAGATAAATGTACATAATAGAAATGTCGGACAATACAAACAATATCGGTGTTTTTCATGATTTTTCAAATATTAACAGGCTGCATTTATCGAGATTATTTTTATTAAAAACAAACATATTGTGGGGGACGCATGTGTACAACTATACAAGACCTTATGTCATCGCCAAATTGACCATTATAATATTGTTACATTTGTGAAAAAATATATCGTTATTTTAGTGGTATAAAATGAATTCTCAGAAGTCGTAATAAAATAACTATGCTTTTCATTAATATGCCTCTTTAAGAAATTCATTTTCATATTTCATCTATGAGGACAAATGTGATATAATTTGGTTAGTTCTTTTTTTAAAAAATTCAACTTTTATTTTTTTAAAAATTGCCTCCAAAATGTTCACCTCGAAACTTCTAGTTTAGTACACTTTAAATGATTTTTTACCGTTAATAATAATATTGGCACAACAACGCCAATCGTAGAACATGATTATTATATTAAATCTTTTATATTGTATACATATATATTTGAACAAATATTAAAGACGGAGCTAAAATATTTGTTCTTATAGAAAATAATTGTAATGCTAACTTATCTTCAAACTGTTAAAACCTGAAATTCTCCCATGACCAACAAATGGGAAAAACAAATTTCATAATATAACACTATTTACATTCTAAACCTAAATTATTAGAATGGGGAAATTCTCCAGAGGACCTCCAATATGAAAACAAATATTCATAATTAATGACAAATTTTAAAAGCTCCTTTGGGAATATCATATATAAAAGTACAACACATAGGTACATTTTGAATAATTGAATAACGAGGTGATAAAGACTGTAATCGTGTGTTTATAATAGCATTACATTCATCTAATTTTTAAGTTAATAATTAAATAGGATAATTAAACAGACAAAGAACAGTGAGATCGGTTTAATTGAAACTATAATGTATTCAAGCTGACTTGAGTTCCATCAGTACTGGCTGATTAGTTAGATTTGTTTTCAACACAATCGTCCATATCAAATCTGATTCTTAAGACATCCACACACACGGCGTTGTTGAAAAGGAACAAATATTCGTACGGAATATGATCATATTGGTAATTAAGTTTTTCTCATATTCATAACGTAATTACTTTTCTAATTTATCATATTCAAATACTTGCTTGTTGTTTTTATCGTATTGACATTATAAAAAACAAATGATATAAATTAACATTTTTGCGTAAACATCATAACAATTATGGATTTTTTAGGTACAAGGTAAATCTTACGTCCTTAATAAAACACTTTTTATATCTTTTTTCCTGCTTATTCTTAACGTTGCACCAGACATTACTAATGTAATTGGATCTGTAAAGTCCTTTTTAAATATAACTACCTATTTATCATATTTCATCTGAATAATAATTTATATGGAGTTTTAATCATTATGAATAGATACATTACTTTGAATTCAAATGTTCTATAAGTTGTCTACCTACTTTTATGTAACATACTTGCTTCTTTGGTTTTCATTTTTTATGAGAAAAATGTAAAAAGAACTTGTTTGATCACTACATGCAAATATTTTGTCCATACGAGCCTCTTCGCTTATGCAGCAATACTAGTTTTTGAAAATTATAACTTCTAATCGAAAAATACACAATTTAATATCTAATTTTTATTTCATTGATATTTTTTCTGATTCCTATGTCACTTGTTTTCGTACCAAACACTATTTTATAACAGAATATGGCTTTGAACAATATAACCATTAAATTTGCAATTTAGATATTTTAGGAGCTGCCTACACAAAGTTGATAAGTTTTTACAGTAAGTCAATATGCGCACTATTTACATTTACAGAAAACATGCAAAAGAAATATAGACATCTACCTTATTTACAAAAATACTTTGTGTTATACGATTTAAATTTGTGGGCGTGAAACAGAATTCGTTCCTTTGATTACATTGCAAAGATTGAACTGTTTACAGTATCCCTGTGAACACAATATTAGAGCCACTATAATCTAAAAATAAAACAACCTCACTTTCTTAATATTCTTCAATGATTATCGGCTATCAATTGTCTTGAAAATGGAAATACCACTTAACAATTGAGTCTGTGGAACAACTCTAACAACTGTTCCCACAAGCACTGCATAAACTGGACCGCAATCTCGCCTTCTTGCAAGCGAATCCTACATTACAGGATCTACAGAACAAATCCTCAGAATGCATTCATGATAACATCGCCATCCAGACAAGTTTTCGCCGCCATTTTGGCGTTTTATCAAAATGGAGAATTACACATACCCGATGACGTCATGTCCGGGTGCGTTCTTGGGGGAACTGGAGTATTGGGAGATTTCACCGGAAGCCTTGTCAGAATGCTGTTACAACAGGTAATCTGAAGAACTGAAGAAATAAATTAGACTTTCTTACATTGCAATTACATGTATTGCTGTAAAGTTCATAAAAAGAGCCATATTTGGTCACATAAGAGAGACTTATATATATAAAGTCCGGAATATTACGCCGATTCCAGGCATTTAATAATTTATAATAAAGTAAATTCGTAATTAAGTAACATTACATAAGTTTATGAATGAATCGTATGCAAACAGCACATTACAATTTAACAACATAACAAAACAAACATATTAATTAAGTATCAGTCAGAGAGTCTCCCTTGTTTGATTATAAGACTTGGATATATTAGCATAGTTATTCAATATGACAACATATTTGATCTATCTAATATCAAGTTAATATTTGATAAAACCAGCCTTTCTTCAAACGCTCAGATTAAATTACTTGCAAGTCTATATAAAAGATGTATATTTCTAGACGAATAAACATCAAGTATATATGAGTCTAACTATGCTTAGTTTTGCTATATACCTATATGATATATACTTGATTCTTATGATATTATACTTCGGGATGACATTCCTCTTCTATTGTTTGCTGTAGACATAATTTACACAAACTTTCATTTCTTAAAACATTTATGTGCATACAGTCTTTTCTGACAACCTTATTTCACACGTTCATCTTTTATTTTCAATTCACATAATATACACTAGCATTTCAAGGCTGTGCTAAACATAGAAGAAGAACTGTAATACGTACACACTCTCCGTTCAATAATAGACCGTAAAAATAACTGTTATTATATTTTGATAATGTCAAACATGATTGTGTTAATATCAACAAAACGCTAAAACAGCTTTATTTCTCCAAAGTAACATTTGTCTTACAGTGTCGCCAAATTGCCAGACATATCTTGCTTCCCATTCCAAATGCTAAAATTTGAATTTGTTAAGAGGCAAGCTATCCATTCTCTGTGTTTGTGCAAACTTCTCTTACCTCAAGTGTTTCAAATAATCAAAATCATTGAAGAATAGCTTGTATTGCATCATTTCTTAGCAAATAAAAACATCTTAGATTACAGAAATTTCTAGATGAACAAGAAACTTTGAGTAAGTTTAGACAGACGTATGTAAAGAGCAAAGATATCAGTAAGCCAGTATCACCGTCAAGTGGTTGCTTACAGAGATTCCGTACTAACATTTGGGAAACAATTAACTATAACAGACCTTCTGTCGCCGGCAAGGTAAACTCAGCTGTTAAGTTTTTAAGCTTTTAACACATTTATTCTTTATATCAGAGTAATGAAATATGGCTTGAGTATTATTGTCATTGATGTATGATTTATATGAACGAGTTAAACACTTCACAATCGTTATGTACATATTCTAATTATCTAATAACTGATCAATACCATTTTTTACAAGGAATTCGATACATGTGATAAACATCACTGTATAAATGACCAAAAACTTTATTATTTTCCTCACGAATGACAATTAAACTGATATCTATAAATCTGTTATAAGATTGTTGTCTTTTATTTCAGATTTACTTATTCGTGGCGTTTATTATGGTTCTCATGTCCATATTGGTTCTCGCATATAGTACAGACCCATTCTTCCACAGAGAATTGACGAACTGTGAACGTCTACAGTACCTGGACTCTAGAGGTATTGAAGGTTATGAGTCTATCAAACCATATCTTGAGGAATTATGTACACTAGGTGACGTCCCTGTACTTTCGGAAAGTCTGATTAAAAAGCTCAATTTGAGTGACATCGAAAATATACTTCTAAGGGAAAGCAAAGATGATGGTGGAAAATTGAAACGCTTTGTGTTTACATTTATTCATAAACGATTAATGACGATGAATAAAGTTGAGGAATTAGAGGCCGAGATATCTTACCCAGATTGGCTTGCCGAATACGACTTTGAAAACAGTACAGAAGATAAAAATACATCCTCCTTAATTGAATACCCACAACAGCCATACGCAAAAACTTTAAAGCCTATTCCCGTAGCTGAAATATTTACATCGCAAAAAGATTTCACATTTCCGAATATCAAAATTAAAATGTTTACCCTGATTATTTTTGAGGGTTTGACAACAATTTTCTTCACTATTGAATTTGTGTTACGCCTATCTACATGTCCAAATTTTAAAATGTATTTCTTGTCAGTGATAGATTGTTCAGATGCATTGTCTCTTCTGGGTTCTTATCTTTATTTCTTTCTCTATTTGATGTTTCCACACTTACGATACGGTACTTGGATTGATTATTTGGCTTACTTACAAACATTAAGATCTTTGCGTTTCTTCCGCTTGGTTCTGAATATGAGAGCTGGAATCGTTTTAGCGTATTCTGTTCGTAGAAATATCAAGGATCTAGTAATTTTGATATTGTTTTTATTTGCTGGAATGTGCACTTTTGGAACATGTATCTACATAGCAGAAGATAACGCAAAAATAGAGAGCATACCAGACGCTTGGTATTTGTCTATTGTAACCATGACAACGGTTGGTTACGGTGACATTTATCCTGAAACAAAAATTGGTAGATTCATTTGTTGTCTGTGCGCCATAGCTGGTGTTGTTCTGCTCGCAATGACAGTACCAATGTTTGCAAATCACTTTCTAATACTATATAATCATACTGAAACGGAAAATGTCATTGAAAAATATAAGCAAAAGAAAACGATGAATAGAAACAATAGAATAGTATATCAATAATCAGAAAACAACTATTAAAAGTTTATCAAAACTGCTTTTAATAACACATTTGAAAACATTGTTTTGTCAAATTGCAAGATAAAAAAAAGCTTGTTCATGCCGTAATTATATATGTCAGACGGTTAGGCTACTATTGCGTAACTTCTTGAAATTGGTATATATAATTTATGCAGACGCATTTCCAAAAAGCAGTGCGCTGAAATATCATTTGAAATTCTGCACCAAATTCTCCATACTATACTTTAAATGACAATGCAAACAAAGATTGTTTTTATATAATTGCATTTATGTACGATGTATTAGTGTATGCAAAACACTTTTATTTAGTGACTATGAACTTGCTCAATCAAACCGAGTCTGCAACATTTCTATATTTTGACGTTTAGGACGTTGTTTAAGGATTCTGTTTTTCTCTTTTTGATTTTTAAAATCTATATATAAACATAAATGTTATCAATCTTTCTGTAATATATCTGTATTTTTAAGGTCTAAAATTCAAACTAACTACTTTGTAAGATATGTTTTTATAAGTTATACAAATAATACTTTGCAAATGTAATTAATCCCATTTTTAAATTGTTGATGCTTTTATTGGTATATTTTTGTTGTATAGAATATAATAACTAACAAAAATATTTTTGTTGTGTTATTGTTGTTGTTGTTATTTTTCTAATGATTCGGACCAACGCTATAGAGTACGTATTAAATTACATATTTGTTACTTAGTTTGTAATTCAAAGGTATTGACTCAGGTTAAACTTCTGAAACATGAAAGAAAGAACTTTATTTGAAGACAAATAAATATAATTTGTCATCTATGAAATACATCCTTTATGCAATACGGAGGAGTGAAGCAATTTTGCCTGTAAACGGCTGACTTACAATGCACAACTCACATAGATAATAATTATCGTTTAAGAAAATAAGTGGAGCCTTGCTAATCCGAGCCCTTCTAATCCGGGATCCTTTCTAATCCGAACGATGTGTCCAGTCCCATTTTTTTTGTTGTATTTCTAATAGTATAAATTAAACCTTTCGTATCCGGAACCTGTCTTTTCCGAATTCCGGACGATTTTTTTTAATTTTTGTTCTTGTTTTACACTGAAATTAATCTCCCGGATCCGAACAAATTTTGTACTATTAACAGGGTTTTTTATATAAAAAGTTAGTTTAACCAAGTAAGGAAAATGAATCAAAATCGCTTATTGACAGCTATATACACGAATAACAAGTTACCATTGATTATCAAATTAAATGTTATCATATTTTGTAAGCTCTCGACTTAACTTCTTTTGTGCACTTCCGCTTGTACAACTTGAATGAAAAAAATGTATATGTAATAAAGCAAAAATATTATTATGCAAGAATATGAAAAAGTGAAAATGTAACAACGCGAAAAAGGTGAATCACGACAAATTCCAACATTGTCGTATATGCATGTTGTCACATTTCTAAATTAACGCTTTTTTGCATGTCATATTTTTATTAATCGTATGGTTGCATTTTCAAATCTTTGCCTTAACTACTTATGTGCACTTTCTCTTGATAAACCATAACGCAAATATCTGACATTGTTACAAAGCTAAAAATGTAACATTGCGTGAAAAGTTAAAACAAATGTAACATTGTGAAATAGCATTGGCGAAAGGCGAATGGAAACAGAATTGAAAAGTCTACCATATATATGTAGTACACTTGAACACTCTAAAATATTAAAACTGAATATTTACATGACATGTCACTCCTTATAATGTTGCAACAATGCTGCTAAACGGTCATTTTTATGGTCTATTATTTAGTCTGTAGAATACATATTCATCCTTATTTAATGATCCGATAAATAATCAGATGAGTATTTAAGTTTTTCGGCCGGATGGCATTTATCCAGCCGGATTCGGAAAATATCCACCCTGAAAAGCTTTTTAAAATAAGATTGACGATGAGAAAACAAATAAATGAAGCGTAAATTTAAGTCAATTATTGCTAATTAACCCTCAATCTATCATGTGACATAGTTTATAAATGTTAAGGACATATTAAATGGTAGTGAAATTTACCACATTCCTGGTGTGCAAAGACTTTCCGGCTTGCATTCAGAAACATTATATCGAATAAGTCGCAGTTTACTTTTACATTTCTTTATTTCTTGTATTAAACATAAGGCAGTCGTGAAGCTTACATGTATAAGATTTTATTTTCCGAAGACAATCAGATACGATAATGGCTACCGAAAATCCTATACACGTACACACGTAACTATTGAGAATTTGAAAATCAGAGACCGCTATTGTGAATAATTTAAAAATAGAAAATTCAGATAGATTCGTGTACATTTATTTTTTTGAAATAGAGCGATCCTTTATTTTAATATTGCTAATAGTTTAGACTTATGTATAACAGTGTTCAAATTGAATTTATTGACAAATATACATGTATATACGAGTTTATATATCATTTTCATACCAATTCATATATAAATGTTAATAAATATACATGACTATGTAAATAGGTTAAGGCTGGTATGTTATGAAATTTTATGGATCATTCATATCTAAGTAAAAATGAAAAATAGACAAAAAATACATCATATATGAAATGATATTCCAATAAAGGAATGAATTATCAAATTAAGATAAGACGAATTATTTCAATAGCAAATAATTGATTTTATTTTTGCGCACGAAGTTCACGTGATTTGTATACAGCATTGGCGGTAAATTATGCGGATTTCCTCGGTTACGCTATATATCACCGACACATCCGTTTCCGTCAGCATTGTACTTGAGAACTTGTGCTGTAAACATCGCTTGATAAAATCAGTTTCAATCACCAATTTATATTGCGCATCATGCCTCCTAAACGCAGAGGAAGGAAAAGGAAAGCAAGACCTTCTGATGAGGGAGAGTGTGAATCTCGGCTTTTACAGCCTGATCCAGGCAACAGTTCTTCACCTTCACGTCGTTCTTTACGTTCTAATGTAATAGATTTTGAAGAAATAATAAGAGGTTCGGGTATATTGCCCGCTTCTGGTGATTCGGCTAATTCAAGTAATGCTGTTAGCCAACAAAATATTAATGAGGGGTGTGGTGGTGTTTTTCAACAAACAACAAGTCAATTGTCAGAAACAGATCGTGCGCAGGTAGTTGCTAATCCCCCACGTGCGCCACGTCACGCTCTTGCACAATACAATTTAAACCCGCATTCCAGTTCTTTAATACCGAGCGTGTTACCTGAATGTGTTCAATTAGCAGACGACGATATCGCTGCGCACGTGCCGCCCGCTCTCAAACAGCAGATAGCACGTGGCGAGTATGTAAATTTAGCCCTGTTGTTAAAAGGCTCGATTGAGTTGTCCGATATCTATGATAAAGGTAGCAGACTTCGTTTGTCAGTAGACGGAAAAATTGAAACGCAGGCGAGGCCGTGTAAAGATAAGATATACACCATTGAAAAATGGACCGATGCCTTCATCGTGTACGCTTCAATTTACACTGCTTCTAACCTCAATAAAATATACGAGATTTTTCATTACATGTGGGTTATAAGGGAATGCGCGGCCAGGCAAGGCGACTTGGCATGGCGAGAATATGATGAGCACGTATTAATAATGACCTATGGTGGAGATGTGTCCAAACTAGGCCGAATTCTCCTTTCCCAGTTGACAATACACGAGCACCTCGTGCTCCATCATGTAATCAATTCAATGAGGGCAGGTGTAATTGGCCAATGTATAAATTCCCTCACATATGCTCGAAGTGTAGCGCTTTTCACGCCGCCGTGAATTGTCCGAGTAATATGCAACGTCAAGAATTCTCTGGTAATTATACTAACAATTTTCGGGGAAGGAATTTCCGATTCTCAAAATTCAGAGGGCGAAATGTTTCCCGTGGTAATGCCAGGGGTTCATTCAAAAAATGAAAATATCAAAGATGCAGAAAATCTAGATTTAATTAATCTAGCGGTTACCCCGATAAACTTGAGTGCTCTTCGCCGTTTGGTAACGGGATATAAGCATAAGGATGCTAAAGTTTTATTGAACGGTTTTCTTTTTGGTTTTAATATGCATTATTCGGGGCCGAGATAAGGCAGGGAATGTAAGAATTTACGCTCGGCTTTATCAAATCCTAATGTAGTACAAGCCAAAATTAATAAAGAAATAAACGCCCGTCGTATGGCCGGGCCTTTTGTAGATAAACCAATGCCAAATTTAATCATTTCACCTATAGGCTTAGTTCCGTAGAAAATAAAAGGGGAGTTCAGACTTATACACCATCTTTCATTCCCAGAAGAAGAATCAGTTAATGATTATATAGACAAAAAATTTTGTTCTGTGTCATATACGAATTTTGATGAAGCAGTGGCAATGATTCAAAATTTAGGAAGGCACTGCTACTTGTTTAAAATGGATCTTAAAAATGCTTTTCGATTGTTACCAATTAGGCCCGAAGATTTTGAAGTATTAGGATTGAAATTCAAAAGTTTATACTACATAGATAAAGCATTACCTTTCGGGCATCTGTTAGTTGCAAGACGTTCGAAAAGTTTTCAACTTTTTTGGAGTATGTCGTTAAGCAGAGGTTAACGTCTGGTGGGTTAATTCATTATCTTGATGATTTTCTTGGCGCAGATAGGTCATTTACATTATGTCGCGCTGCTATGGACATATTCAAAACTTGTATGGATGATTTAAACGTTCCCCTAGCAGACGAAAAAAACCGAATGTCCGAATAAAATTATGGTTTTCTTGGGTATCGAACTTGATACGGATAAAATGCAGATACGAATTCCTATTGAAAAAATAACGGAAGTAATAACAAAAGTAAGGGAGATTTTAAACAAGAAAAAAGCGTCGTTACGAGAAATACAGTCCCTTATAGGTTCTTTAAACTTTTGCTGCCGTGCTATACCTGCCGGCAGACCTTTTTGCAGACGACTTATTAATGCTACATGTGGCGTATCGAAGTCATTTCATCGCCTTAGAGTAAATACAGGCATTAAGC